TGTAAAGTCTTATTAGCCTAGCCGTGCTATAAATTGTGCAATAGTGCAATAAATTAGAATAAGACAAGCATATTTTTTCTCATTCTAGCTTACTGCACTAGTTCACCAGTGCAGGAACAGAGAACAAATCTCATGACTCTACCATGCACAGTATAACCAGTATGGGCACCATAGACATAGTATATCTAGACTGCTGGTTGGCGGAGTGGGGGTAGAGCTCACGTAGAAAAGGATGCACTCTGTTTCGTGCATTGAACGTTCTCTCTCGCACACGCGAAAAGAGGGGATAAGGGGAAGCAGTTACTAACCTGTGCGAGAGAGAACGCACAGACACGAAACAGAGTGCATCCTTTTCTACGTGAGCTCTACCCCCACTCCTGAAATTTGAGAGAACCAGCAGTCTAGATATACTATGTCTATGATGGGCACTCTCTGTCGGCACCTTTGATCTGGGCGTTCTCAATTTTCCGCCATGTTTTTATTCGCGCCAACAGTGTATCAACGGCTAAAAGTGCCTGGGCCCTTTTCAGGATCGTATCCAGGAAAGGCGCGTACGAACTAGCGTACATTATTTTTTATAAATGGAAATGGCCTATGAAAAAAATGTTCTAATAAAAGTAATTAATGTAATTACTTGCTCCAACGTATAAAAATATTAATGCGTTATTCGTCAACACTGCAAATTTTTCAATGTTACACCGACTTTGCACTACACACGTACAAAAATCCTGTGATTGGTCATAACTAAAACATGTCGGATGCGCAGTATGGATCGGCGCGAACGTGAAACAAAAGAGCGAGTGGGCATACTGGTTATACTGTGGGGCTGCTTTCGCGAGAAAATCCAAACGATCCAGATTCCAGATTAAAGTGACCTTGTGCTACGATTGGTCAAGTCTGAAATTTCGTAGCATCACATTGAAATTTTATTCAATGAAATTCCACATTTCACCAATCACAGCACCAAGGTCATTTTAATCTGGATCACTTCGATTCTCTCGCGAGAGCAGCCGAAGATCTCCGAGCTCTCAACTAGTGCGCACAGCCAGTGCGCGGCTATAAAGAACAGACCTCTGTAGACTCTCGTCGGCGCGCGCTCATTTCAGAACGCACCGCGCAAAGGACGTCCGCGATTCGTGACATTCGCGCGGCTCTCGACCAGTCGTCTATGGCTCTCGACGTTCCACGCGTTGGCAGCAATTGCCGACGATCGCCGGCAGGGGGAGGAGTTGGGCAACAAACGAAGAACCTGTTGTTCGCGAACGAGCAGTCGGGGAATGTAGACGCGTTGTGTACGTGAATGCCATCATGAACGCCAAGAGAAATCCGCAGCATGTGTCGAACTCGTACAACGGAGGTAATCCCGGTACGCCCTCGCGACACCGCCGTCGCGCGGTCGCGCGCGCTCGCGCCGCCGACCGGGAAAGGGACGCGCGTACGCGCCTGATGCGCCCGTAGACGGTAAACCGAAAAGCCGTCTGCTGGGCGTCTTTATGGCGTCTGCTATCCCACGAAAACAACTCTCGTTCGGCGCGCGGGGAGGCCGTTACTCCGCGACGTCGCGTCGCTCGGAGATCCCGTTTTTTATTTTCCCTTTGTCTTCTTTTCAATAATTTTAACGAACGTACGTCTTCCTCAGGCGTGATCTTCGAAACTGTTTCAATTACCGACGAGTGAGACCTCACGTTGGACGGTGGCGCGTTTCACCGAACGCTTACGCACTTCTCATACTTTTTTTTTCTTTTTTTTTACATATCTCTCCCCTTTTATGTCCGTGTCGAATAATATGATTGACTTTTCACTATTGATCCGAGAGGTTTTACTCTTCGCCCTTTTCCAATTTCTCCGATCTACGGTGTGCCCTTTGTCTGGGAACGTTCTGTTTTATGTAAACAAATCGGGACGCCTGACAAATTTACCGACAATGCGCGACTGAATAATGTATAATTTGTCAGCTTGCAGAAATTTAAACGTACCGGCTACAAAATGAGATGTTTGTAGACGCAAAGGGCACATTGTAGATCAGGCTTGAGAATTGGAAAAAGATGGAAGGTACGTCGAACTGAAGATAGACAATGATACAGAATATGTACATATGCAAGGTGGAGCTTCGATTTTCATCCGATTGCTAAAGGACTACATGCCAGTTCGCCCTTCGTTAAAACTCCGTGATACGATTTGTAAAAGTTTGCTGAAGCTGTGGCCGGTATTCGTAGTCGGATCTTGTATTCAAGATCGTTTTAAGATCAGCTTTAACTCCGTAGCCAATGGGATGCTCCATACAGCTTCTAGATAGACTCAAGACGATGTTAAACATACGATCTGAGAATTTATCTTCGGTGAATTTAATTCGGGTTTTCAGTAGAAAATATGTACCTACTTGGTATAACAGGATTAACACACAGCCATAGAATTGAGAATAACAGGCGTAAAAACCGTTACAGGTACTATAGGAAGGGACAGTCCGTCGGCCTTGTTGGAAGTGCTCGCGGAGGTCGCGTCGCAAAAGCTGCACTCGGAGAAGAAACACATTAATTCGATGCTGACGCTGCAGTTCAAACCGAAGACTGCGAGTATGAAGCGGAAGGAGTCGTGTTTTACCGTATCTCAGCTCGCGTCCATGCCTGCTTCGCATCTTATTAAGCAATTTGCCGTTTTTACAAGCGACGAGCTCAAAAGACAATATTCTTATACCTGTGCGTTAGTGCCTGGTTGCCAACAGACATACAGCAGCTTCGCTAGCGAGGACAAGGCGAGAGTGTGCATTAAAAATCACCTAGAGGAGCATTTAGAAAAACTGAAAGGAGATAAAGAGACTTGTGCGTACTAATTTATTAGACGTTTACTTTATTATTGTCTAGTTATATTATCAATTCGTAGTTACATAAAACAATTTTCCGATGTTTATTTATGAAGAATTTTACATATTCTAAATTTAATTGTATCTCTAAAGATACTTGTATGCAGGAAATTGTATCGTATTGTTAAAAAAATCTTTTTTTATGTTGTTACAGATGATACGTTTACAGCGAAGAGTATAAACCACAAAAATTTCAAGACTAATCTGCAAAGTAAGAAATGTCGGATGCAACAGATAAAGAAACCTCAAGAAACGTTGAATAAGGAGAACAAAGATGTGATACTCGAGAAATCCACCAATTTGTTACGTAAAATACTTTTAAACGATATGAATATTAAAGAGAACGAGAGGCAGAAGTGTTTCCAGAAACCGGAAAGTAAGGAAGCGCACGACTCTGAATTGAGGAATTCGGAGCAAGTAGATATTAAGGTTCTCGGCGATCATAGTTATTCTGAACGATTAGATGACAAGATGCCTAATAGGAGAGAGACGTCTCTTAATAATGTCCCTGATAATACAACAGAAGAAGAAAATGTTAGTAAACAGTCTATTACTTACCTAAACGCAATTGTGAAAGATATTACATTATGATATACGTGCTGCAATTATAAATACATATTTCTTTGCAGATTGTGCTGATGGTCGTTGGCACCGATAGTGTACATATGAAAGAATATTCTCACGTCCATCAGAAATTAGCTGAAAGTTATCAAGATACTAATATTGTTTATTCACCAGGTACGTTCTGTATAACTTAATCTATAATTTATAGAATAAAATACAACACTTAGTCTTGCGATTAATGTTCTAGAGATAAGTATTACGCAAAAGTATAATTGTAAAATGTAACTACGGAGCGCGTGTAAATTTCTATTTATATATGTACAAACTCGTCATCAGATACAGCTCAAAGCACGGAATCGAATGCAGAGGTATCTACGACTACGAAGCCTAAAGGGAAAGCAAAGTTTATCGGCACGAGCAAGGAGGAAAGGGAAATGGCACTAGCATATATGGACCGTATCAAGAAAAAGGGTAATCCTACAGGGAACAATCTACAGTGTCGCATCTGCGACCCACCTCGTAGTTTCACAGCGCCTACAACTTTGGTGTCGCATTATCGGAGTCACGCCGGGATAAAGCCGTACGAGTGTAAGACGTGCAAGGCGTTTTTTACAAGAAGGCACAGCTTGAAGTACCATATGTTGATTCATCAAAATCAAACGCGCTTTACGTGCCAGGATTGCGGTAAAAAGTTCAGGCATCCGTCTCACTTTCGAGAGCATCTACGTAGGCATACTGGAGAAGCACCGTTCGGCTGTGACGATTGTGGGCAACGGTTAGTAAAATTACTGTTTAGAAGTACATTAATTATGTAGATAGTAATGTATTTTATACAGACGTTTACATTCTATTTTCATAAATAAGCTCAAGACAAATAAGACATTTTAAGTAATTAATTTATGAAAATAGAGTGTACGTAAACAAAATTCCGTTTCAACTAAATTCTGTCTTTCTAATTTTATCTCCGAAGAAGGAGACGGCCGAATAGCTTTGCTTATGTAACATTAATATTTGGTCTTTTGTGTTAGGTTCAAAACCAGGAACACTTATAAACGTCATTTAAAGACACGACACAATAAAATCCTCACTACGTTTGGTGAAGTCTTGCATCCGCCGGAAGAAGACGTACAAAAAGATCGAAAAAGAAAAGATTCCGTTCAAGTTGCGTTAAGTGTCGATGACGTCGCGTCCGATGCAATCGTAAGCTTCGAAAACCACGACGAGGCGCAAGTTTCGGTTGTTACAAATACAGAAGAGTACATTCTGAAAGATGATATCGACAGTAACAGAAATTGGGAGACAAACAATATAATACAAATTGATAAATATGGGAACTTTGAGATTTACTCGGAATCTCAATTGAATAAGACTGATGGTATAGAGACTGAAATAGCTGTAGATTGTAAATACCTCGATAGGGAGAACCGCAATGTCAATGTGGAATGTCCTAACAGTATAGGGGATGGCCTGTTGCAATTGAAAAATGCTTTTTACGATAATTTAGGAGTAACTAATAACGAAGAAAATGACGTTGTCTATCAGCATAATATCGAGGATCAGGATAAAATTGACGAGGCTAGTAATGAGGTGCAATGCGAAGTGAATTGTAGAAGCGAGACACTAAATGAAGAGGAAAAAGATACAATGGAGCGTGAGGTAAACACAGATTTTCCAGAAGAACAAGATGGAAGCAATTTACAAGTGTTACTAAAATCTACACATGATTGTCATACGGAAATACGCAACAGTCATATTCTAGGTACAGAAGAAAGAAATATAATTTACAGCCGTTTAAAAAAAGCAGAGAAAACAGAAGCTACAAGTTTGAATAAAAATGATGAAAAATATGATGTACACGTCATTGTGCAAAACGATGTCGCGAATAAAAAGTCTACAAAATCCGCTAATAATTTCGATATTGAGAATAGTGAACATCCAGGAAATAATATTTTCTGCGCACAGATTATATATACAAATATTTTATTCGGTGGAGTCGGCGAAGAGGTTTTTCCAGAAAATCAAAATAATATATTGCAAGAAAGCGAGTGCGTAACTCGGTCCGTTGCGACAGATGTGGTGGAAATCTTAAATTTTTCTCCGAAAGATTCTGTCGAGGCAAGTCAGGAAAGCAGTCAACGACAAAATCAGTATTTATACGTCCGTTCCGAACAATTAAGTAAACTAATTGCTCAGAATAAATATGTAACTATACCGCTACATCAGATCAAGTGGTGTCGTGAGCATGGATTGCAAGCGAAGGTGGACAACCAGCGATCGATTTATATCATAAATGAGGATATACGAACAATTATAAAGCAATCTGAGAAGCAAAACGCGATTTTAGTTTTGTCCAGCGACAACTACAAGAATGGCATTTTTCAAATTGACAAGAATAGTATTATTGTCAAAGCTCTAAAGAGGTAGATCGGTGTGCAGAGTAATAACATTTGTATAATAAGATATGTAAAGTTTAACGTTGATCATCACATTCGAAATATATTTTGTAACATAGCAATGCGCTAGACACAGCCGATTGATTAAGATATACATGCAATAATCATTGTAACGTGTAATAATCTTAGAAGGAAAGAACAACACATTAATTTCTTGCTTTTATAAATATCTAGGAAGCAAAACCAAAATGGGTGTAATCGTATTTCTCAGTTTTAATACGATTTAATATGTATATTTAATATGTAATTAACTTGAGAAAAAGAAGTGACGGACTAATGAAAATATGCTTGTGTCGATTTGATAGATGGTACATGGTATTTTTATTGTGAGCAATGAAAATTAATAGTGCATTTATTTGTTTGACAGCGTAAGAGATTATTTTTATAACTTCTAAAAATAATCTTATATTGTTACAAAATATGAGCTCTGATTGATTGCAATAATTGCCTGCATTTATTAAGTATTCACTCCTCGAGTTTATATTAAACTGGTATTCAGAATTAAATTTTACAAATTTAATTTTCATTAATTTCATTCTAGATATACAAAAAGATAAATTTGTGCACTTTATTTGTAGTTTCACATCTTATTTTTATTAGATGTGGTCCTACTAACTTATATTTATTTAGCAATCATGAAAAATATGAAAATATGGTGAAGTGCCAAATGTAAGAAAGTATGTTACATATTTACTATATGTATAACATAATTTTATATTTTCATTCTTTTAAGATTGTGGCGGTTTATTGGTGTACTACTATATCATTCATTTTTAAAACAATTCTATTTAGCTTTTTAATGTTTATTTCTGCTGTTTTGGATTGTTATTTTAGACATTTTTTTGTACGGAGTGCATAAAGTAATAACACATTTATAATTATATGAGCAATTATATTTTATATTGTTTGAATGAGTAAATTATAGATGTTATAAACTTCCGTGCAATTTAAAAACAAATTTCAGTCATCTACGTTAAATAGATCTTTCATTTGTGAACTGTGTAAATGTGTAGAACAGTGCAGCGCGCTTTGAATGTCGGTCTTCTTGGCTAGTACTTTTTTTTTCTAAGAAAAAACTTTCAAAATGTCCATCGCAGTAAGTTATTAGGTTACAAATTTTCGAGAATTCGCGAATTAAGTTTCAACAATCAAACACATTGAATGCAAATAAGTCGCAAACCACCTTTTCCATCCAATATATGAATTTTTAAACGTTTTTTTTATGTTAACGCATAAATCTACTTTGTGTATCTGTGTAAAGTTTATGTCCGGGAAGTTCCGAGATTCAATTAATGTCAGTCCAATTACGAATACATATCTGATCAATTTTTTCATAGGAATAAAAGGCAGCTAACCAAACACTGCGTTGCATCGCACAGCTTAATTAAGATAACGAATGAAACAGACATGACTATTGTGAGGTTTTGATAAACACCTTTCTATAATTTTCACACAGTTAAACGTTTCCAATGAGAAAGCACTCTTTAAAATTCATGTTGAACTTACAAAGAGGTTCATACTTTCGCCATCCAACACCACGGTAGTTTAAAATTTTGCAGTCTCGTCTCGTAGCTTCAGCTTTTTTTAAGCGCCTAAGAGTTGATATCACTAGGATTAAATTTTACAAGAGATATAAAGCGCACAATTGCTGTTATAAATTTCTTATTCTTGTCAATCTCGAAATCAAAGTTGATGAAATATCATCTGTGTCTCAGTGTCATCACGGGATAACTCAGTTATTAGTGATAAAACCTAAAACTGATCTCCAAAAGTCTCATTAATTGTGGCTTGAATTCTCTCTGACATTTTTAACTGATCAATTTCAGGTCTGTTATAGTCTTCCTTAGGTCGGTATTCATAGTCGGATCTTCTATTCAAGACCGTCTTGAATTTATCTAAAAATGCTGTATGGAACATTTCATTGGCTACGGAGTATCTAAAGATGATCTTAAGACGGTCTTGAATATAAGATCTGACTAGAAATACCGGCCTTAGTGATGTAAAATATTTTCTAATCGCCAAATCGAGCTCTAATTCACACAGTTACAGCTAAATATTCGTTAGCCTAACAAGTTCTTCGAAATTTCTTATGTTGAACAGACCTATGAAATCTAATACTTTTAAAGAGTTTCTGCAGGTTTAGGCATTCGTCCAGAAAATTTGGACGATGCAGCTTTCTTTCTCAGGCCTACTCCTCGATTCTATAATCACAAAATGATATTTGGGATCGTTATACAGCGTAACATTCGTTGTATGTGTTATATTCCCGAAGACTAACCGGATACCCTTCATCTATCGTAAATAAACTCAAACTTGGAACTTTCTTGGCATAGCACAAATGATCGATTCGAATCAATTCCCAGCATTTTTTAAGCAGATATAATAAAGATCATTAACGTAGCAATATGTGATTAGTGTATGTACAGATTGCTGTAATGACGGTAGTATAACTGAAATAATTGCTGGTATAAAGAAGGAAAATCGAGATTATAAAACTAGTCTCTTTCGTACGAAGCTGCGTTTTGCAAGAAATTAATGTAATTAATGTAAAGTCCGTCAGTATAGTTTCTCACATTATGTTACACGCCATCCTGTATTATAACGCAAGAAATGTGCCGAATTGTCGAATAGACGATGTAACGCGGAAGAAATCGCGTCAGAGTGGAGTAGACGTCCTACTCAAAATCTTCAATATCTGCGGGCAAGTCCAGGGGGTCAGTTCTGTACCTTACAATACAGTGAAAAATGTTAAGAGCGAGCAGCTTTGCCTCTTTATAAGAAAATGGTTCGAAAGAGACAAAGCTACTCGCATTTTCACTGTAGTGTAGGATCTTTCACTCGACAAGTGGCTGTTTAAACACCGAACTGTTTAGCGCGCCGCATACTGTATTGTTTCCACAATTTCTCACAATCTCGGTAATTCGCAAATCCCAATTTTTTTTTACAAACGTATCTGTAACACTAACAAATAATGCATTTATACACAATAACTTTCAATACCGTATATAAGATAATTAATCTGACGAATGTAATTACAATAGTTAGGATACTAATTAACAGGTTAGATCGTATCATACAAATTATAATCTAAAAACAATATCATTACTGTAAAGGGTGCCTTTTTTTTATAAGATAGAAATAAGCTGTCGGATTATAAAGATACGGTAATTAACAACACTACATATTTATGCAACATTGTATCGTAGGGGATAAGAGGAAACAAATAATCTTTGTATAATCATATACATTAATTGTAACCAGTCTGGTGATTGCAAAAAAAGTATAACTGTAGAAATATCGACAGGCGGGAAGGGTATGTGATGCAAATCTACTCAAGAATTAAGTTCGTTCGCGCAAAAGTCTCGCGTTGTATGTACAGTTTCGCGTCTCGAACATGATTACACATAAATTATGTGACATAACGTAGTTAACAGCGCGCTTTGAAGCCGCGAGCCTAATTCGCGCCGCAAGTTATCGACTATGTAAAGAACAATAACTTCGCTTACATAATGTATTTTTCTACGTATATTTTGTACTTACGAATAAATTTCTAAAAATATTCCGCGTCAATCACTTCGGTTACCTTCTAACAGGTAGTTTCAATCAAATCGAGAGCTGGCGTAGGACATAGACATTTTCTACGGATGCGAATGCCCCCTCCCCTCCCCCGTAAACACGAGAGGATCAACATAATGTGTAAGCTTTGAATTGTCGTGCAGAAATTAAATCGATGGCAAGAGTGTTACATGTCCCGAATAGCAACCTGATATTGTTTTGACGTCAAAACAATTAATGTTATGTGGTTCTTCATTGATCAGCTTGCATAAAAATATCATAATTACTTCTCCTTTATCTGTAATTGTCACTCGTATGCCACTGATGGGATCTTTTACTTTTCACGACTAATATGTTCTACTTGGGATTAACGCGTTTAGACATTTTGCGTATACATACGTGGAAAATGTGCACGTGTTCTATCTGTGCCTAAATTCGTATGGGAAGGCATCAGTGATTCCTACCTACGGGGAATTTCCGGGGAGCTTCTGAGAAATTTTAAAAGCTCCCCAGAAGCTCCCCGGGAGTTCCCCGTGCTGTGTGAGTAGGAATCACTGATGCCTTCCCATATGAATTTAGGCACAGATAGAACACGTGCACATTTTCCACGTATGTATATGCATATATTAGTCATGAAAGCATCATTTTTTGAAAATATGTAGAAAGGGAAGAGTGCCAATGTGAGCCACAAATGAACGGAAAACGGTTCTAACAATTTAGAAACAAAATTTCTCTTTAATATAAACGTTTCGACCCCGTTTCGGGTCTTCCTCAGTACAACTCGTTTAAATCGACTAAAGTGTAACTTAAGGGATCAGAGTGGTATGTGATTTGAGAATCATCAAATGGTCCCAGACAAAAAGAGGTCTGAAAGACTCAGGTCGACAATCATTTTTTGATCACTTTTTATGCATCATGGTTACGTGAAAGTAGCCCACTGGGAGCACCTATTTGTGACATCATTAAGACATCAAAATGTTGTAAAAATGATGTTGCTTTGCAAAGCAAATTCAATTAAATATTATACGTTAAAAATAAATTGAAGTAGTGTACCCTGCTGAAAATACCCGATTCAAACCGATAGATATCGCATTGATTTCTATAAAAATTAATCGGTTTCAATTCGATATCAATCGGGCCAATCGGGCACCGGATTGGTGAAAATGCAAGATCAATCGGATTCAATCCGGTATTTCCAGATAGAATTGAAGCAGTAACAATCGGTTTCTATCGGATTTTCTGACGAAGTCTAACAATCGTTTTTAATACAACTTTTCCGGAATGACTTGAATCCGCACCAATCGGTTCCAGTCGGCGAATTTGTATCTGAATTGTCTATTGTTTTTAATACAATTTTTCCAGATTGACTTTAATCCGCGCCAATCGGTTCCAATCGGCGAACTTTTATCACGGATGGAAACCGATAGACGCGAATCAAAATCTATCTGGAAATTTCTGATTGAACACGATTCAAATCTGACACTATCCGCGTCAATCGGTATTTTCCGCATCAAGAATCCAGATTCATGCGGATTCAAAATTTTCAATCGGTTTTAATCAGGTATTTTCAACAGGGTAAGATAAACATATAATACATGACTGATCATGTACTCTGTAATAATTATTACACACATCGCGAATATCATGAATTAGTCATTGCAAAGTAAAAATCTTGATGTCGATCGTTTTATGATGTGAAATTCATCATTTTAATGTCACATTGACATTTTTGTAATTAACTTGTTCTACTTTTGGGATATGCGTCTAAATTCATATGGGAATGCCCCACACAGCAAAACAAGTTTCAGAAAGCTTTCCGAAAGGTAACTTTTGGAAATTAATATTGAAATGTAAAATTGAAATCATTCAGAAATATCTTTGAAACGTTTCATCAAAATCACATGTCATTGAAAACTTTCCAAAAGATATCTTGGAAATTAATATTGAAATGTAACATTAAAATCATTCAGAAGTATTTCTGAAGCATTTAAGAGATATTTCCGAAGCATTTCAGAAATATTTCCGACGCATTTCAGAAATATTTCCGAAGCATTTAAGAGATACTTCTGAAGCATTTCAGAAATATTTCAGAAACATTTACGATATCTCATCTACGCGGACATTTCATGTATCTGAAGCTGCATGTCTGAAATATTTTTTTGAAAGGTTTCATATTTCATTGACAGCTTTTTGAGAGCTTTCTGAAATATTTCGGTGCTGTGTGGGGCATCATTGATTCCTGTATATCCAGAACGATTCTAGGACGTCCCGTGCCATCTGGGGATGCGTGTATCTCGATCGACAAAAGCTATTTCCATCTACGATACGCCTCGTTCTCGATTTTACTCCGCGAACGCGACGCCGAGGTTCAAGTCTCTATAAAAGAGCCGGGCCACGCGTCGCCGAACCGAACCCGACCCGCGCGGGAGCAAATCCAAATATTTACGGCATCATCTCGGATCGGTCGCCGCGAGTGCCAAACACTTCGTGCTCGGCGACGACAACAGATGCGTGCGCGCGCGCACGGCGACCGGCGAACAATCAACCGGGCGCGGCGTGCGCCGCGCGCTCGCGGTCCTGTTGCTCTCGTTGGAGAACGGCAGCCGGAGAACAAGGTCGCGGGGATAAAATGGCGAGCGGGCCGCGCTCGGGTCAGGCGGGATAAGGATGGGGCGCGTACCGTGCGTCGCGGCGCGCGATTCCGCCCGGCATGTGTTTACTGTTATTACAGGACGACGACGTACGGGGCCCGGGCGCGTACACCCGCCAGCCCAGTACCGCGAGCGGCGAGGAGCCGATTACAGGTGGCCGGCCGCGCGCGCCGGTAAATCACGCTCTCCCGAGCTCGGTCTAATCTCCGCGAGGGGACGGGGATTCGCCGGGGACGCTCTCTCTCTCTCGAGCTTGCGGCATCGCGGCGATTGTCTCGCGGTCTTGCGAGAGCGGAAAACGAGAGACACACACCGGACCGTCCGCCGCGGTGGATCGTACGAGTCGCGGGGTCCGCGCGCGTCTCGTTATCCACGAAGGTCCTCGGCACCTTGGGCGTGCGGATACCAAGCGGAGTCGGGCGCGTGTGCGTGCGCAGTCGGCGCTCCCGAGAGGAAGGTGTTCGGATTCGTGAGGACTCCGCGAACAGGTGCTCTGGGAACGTGTCCGCTCGTGAAGAGTTCAAGAGTCGAGAGCCGGCGGAAGTCCCTTCGCTCGGTCGCGTCGCACCTGGAGGTAGCGGCGCTCGTCTGCCACCGGAACTCGCAACGGTCGAGCGGACGCTCCTGCCTCGAGAGAGAGAGAGAGAGGAAGGGGGGGGGGAGAAGCGAGGAGCGCGCACCGCGTGCCGCGACACGCGAGGGAGCATCCCGGAAGAACGAGGACTCGTCGCCGATTGCGTCGCGCCGGCGTAAATATTGTAACAACGTGACGTAATATTGGCCGCGCGACGGCATGATAATAAGCGGGGACGTCGTCGTTGCTCGTCGGCGCGCCTCGCGATCAGATAAAGCGCACGAAATTGTTCCCCGTTTCGAGGTCGACGCACCGCTCGCGTATCTGCCGCGGAGGAGCAGCGTGATAAAAGATTCAGTCCGGATCCGTCGGCGTTGCCGGCCTGCCGTCGCGCTCCCGAATCCTCGCTGGCGGAAACGCGCGAAATGGAGGTGAGTTCCGTCTCTCCCTTTCTTCCTTTTTTTTCCCCCCGTCCGCCTCGGACGGGAAACGTAAAAGCGAGCGCGCGGAGCGGTCGCTTTCGGACGCCCCGCGCGTCTCCGCGACGCTCGGGTGACCGATCCGCGCAACTTTCCTTCGATGTTCATTTCTATCGAGGATTGACTTTAGCCTCGGCTTACTTTTTAGTACTTTTTACCTTCTTCTCTTTTTCATCCAGTTCTGAAAATGAAAAGAGATAAGAAATCGGTTAAACCGAGATTCCAGGTGTACCTTGCGCTTCCTGCGATCGAGGCCCGGTTTCACCAAACGTCGCTCAACTTCAAGCTTGCAAGTTTAGTTCGTTCTAGGTCTCTGTTCAACTGTTACTTTACAAAGGGACAAACGTGAATTGAACTAAGATTTTTAACCAAGTTTCACCAAACGTCGCTCAACTTCAAGCTTACAAGTTTAATTCGTTCTATCTCTGTTCAACTGTTACTTTACAAAGGAACAAACATGAATTAAACTAAGATTTTTAACCCAGTTTCACCAAACGTCGCTTATCTTCAAGCTTAGTTTGGTTCGTTCTTTGTCTCTGCCCAACTGTTACTTTACAAAGGGACAAACGTGAATTGAACTAAGATTCTTAAACTAAGTTTCACCAAACGTCGCTTAACTTCAAGCTTAGTTTAGTTCGTTCTAGGCCTCTGTTCAACTGTTACTTTACAAAGGGACAAACTGTGAATTAAACTAAGATTTTTAACCAAGTTTCACCAAACGTCGCTCAACTTCAAGCTTACAAGTTTAATTCGTTCTAGGTCTCTGTTCAACTGTTACTTTACAAAGGGACAAACGTGAATTGAACTAAGATTCTTAAACTAAGTTTCACCAAACGTCGCTCAGCTTCAAGCTTACAAGTTTAGTTCGTTCTAGGCCTCTGTTCAACTGTTACTTTACAAAGGGACAAATATGAATTAAACTAAGATTTTTAACCAAGTTTCACCAAACGTCGCTCAGCTTCAAGCTTACAAGTTTAGTTCGTTCTAGGCCTCTGTTCAACTGTTACTTTACAAAGGGACAAACATGAATTAAACTAAGATTTTTAACCGTTTCACCAAACGTCGCTTAACTTCAAGCTTAGTTCATTCTAAGTCTCTGTTTAACTGTCACTTTACAAAAGGACAAGCATAAATTAAACTAAGATTTTTAACCGTTTCACCAAACGTCGCTTAACTTCAAGCTTGGTTTAGTTCGTTCTTCGTCTCTGTCCAACTGTTACTTTAGAAAGAGACAAACGCGAATTAAACTAACAATAAGATTCAAGTTAAGCGACGTTTGGTGAAACCGGGCCTTCAAATCTGCGCACACGATTCCTAGGTACAGCCGATCGTTACAAACTCGAAAGGGGTTCACTGTTTCCAATTCTTCGTTAGCGTAATAACAATTAGGTTGAAGCAGGTGGTTTGCGCGTGGAGTAAAAGGTATGGAAGATACGAGTGTGTTGAGTCAAGATTGTAAGCCAAGTCCCGCTTTGTGTGTATATGCCGAGGTGTAAATAGGGTGATTCACATTAGCGTAATCCGTTCAAAATAAACTCGAAAGAACGCAATCCTTTCCGGTAGATGAAATAAGACTCCGTATACATTTTGCTTTCTTATGGAAATAACTTGAAGTTCCGAGTTCAAAGAGTCACTTTGTAAAAGAGCTCAGAGTTCGCGACACAAAAGCGGATCCCTTTTGTTCTCTCAAAAATGTTTCTACAGGACAGAGGTGGACTAGAAAAAGAATTCATTCCGTAATTCGGGAACGCGAAAAGAATTCCTCTTGGCTTCTCTGGTTGCTACCTGAGTTCTGTCAGTTTCTACCAATAAAAATTGCCTTTAATCTCGGTTTAATTGTACCTTTTGTCTCTCCTTAATTTTTGCCACTGGGTGAAAAAGATAAGAAGCAAGTTGGACCGAGATCAAAGTTAATCCGCGCCGATAAAAATGCACGTTAGAGCTAGGAAAGTTACGCGAAGAGGCAGCTTGATATCAAGAAATCGGGAAAGTGTAGCCAAACGAAGTAAATCTGCTGTCACATAAGCGTGACGCGATCTTATTTATCTCTAGCCTCTTCAAACGCGAGGACTCTGACAGTTACGCAAAACGCGAGGCTACGATCCGTGAAACACCTTCTCGTATTTGCCCCGCGAGTGAAAAACGCCCTGCTTTGTTGTGCTTCTGCTTTTTCTCGCGTATTTTCTCCCGCGGGTCTTTTTCCCTCGGAGCATAATAAAGTGAATATTAACGCGACATTGGGGGACGATAAAGAGACGAGTATAACTGTTGAACTGGGAAATAAAGAGAGTCTGAAAGAAAGAGTACCGTTTTTACAATTCGCGTGACGAACACTTCTAGCGATCTGCGAGGGAAAAGACATTCGATTCCGGCGAGCGAGAGTTAATTTCCAGCTTCGCGCCGCTGCGCTCTCGTGGCACTGCGAACGTGTTTGCAGTGCCATTTTTCAATGAGTCGCCTATGTACTGTTGATATCGTATCTCTGGCGTTGTCGCTTCTTCGCAAGGTTTATTAATTTTCGCGTTTTAATCGCAACAAGAGAGTGCCACGACGCACAGAGGCGGAAGTGAGAGAAATTTCGGACCGCGGTTGAGAGAATCAAAATGAACGCAATTAGACCGACGGTGTGACACATTTTGCGCTCGTAATATTACCGTTTGGCGATTAGAACAGTCGTTAAATGACATTCGTCAAGCCGTCGCGATTTTTATGCCATAGGTTTGCGAACAACTTTTGCGTTCTCCAATTCTTTTCCGAACAAATCTTTGGCGTGGAATTTTCAGACACACGGAGGGAATTTTCTCTTAAAATGTATTCTGAAAATCGTGCAATCGTGGAACAATATAGTATTTCGAAGGAGAGTTTTTTTTTAATTTTACCATACATGTCACTAGCAATTATACTTACAGCGAATTCAGTTGCTTGCACTAGTCAATTCTTATATTTAACTTTATCTTAAATACACGTTCAAAGAGTGTTTGGCCAAAAAGTGATTTGTACAGATGCCGTACGGATCATTTTACCGGCTAAAAAGTCTTCCAAGAGGTATTTAAAATGATCCCTAAATATAAGAATTGACTATAAACGAGTCTTAGTGTGCACTTAGTGCACACAAGTGCAAGCCAGGGAATTTGCGAATCTGCGGTGTATCGCGTCGAGCGGGAATTCGCCATTATTATTTCTAAAGTATCTAGAGTCTTCTAAGCATCTAAAAATTTCATGCTAAAGAATTGGAAAAAGGCGCAAAAATTGATAACATTTCACAAACTCTCCTTCGAAATGCCATATTGTTCCACGATTACACGATTTTCAGAATAAATTTTCAGAGAAAATTCCCTCCGTGTACGTGTTTCAATTTTTCAATGTATTAATGTGCGCAGATATTAGTTTCGGTCGTGTAGTTTTGTTTCTTCTTCCTCTACAACGCGTCCTTTCGTAAAGTACAGACACGATTTTGAGTCGTAACGCAGCTGTATTACAATAATATAGTGTTAAGTGTGCCTTTAGGTCAATCGATACTTTTGCCAGCGGTTTCGATCGCTGGCTCTTTGCTCGTTTGCATTGGAAAACATAATTAAAGCGGTCATCGACGAGAAACGTTTCACCTGGCAGATCAATTATTTCTACTTGCTTTCAAGCGAAATGTTTTACGAAAGTTACACGACGCCGGTTTCGTTCAAAAGTCCAAGGAAACGAACGCATCGCCTGCATTCGCAAAAGAATGCGGCGGCCTTTTGTCCGCGCGCGTGACCAAAGTGACATTTGCGATTTCGTTAATTAGCATTCATTCTGGAAGAATATACGTCACAAGTTTTGGAAACCGGCACCGATGAAGGGACCTTGGAAGCCGATCCTCCCGAGGTCGATTGACCACAACTACGCGGAGAGAATTTCCTTTTAAAATTTATCCTGAATGAATTTATCCTGAAAATTATGCAATCGTGAGACAACGCGGCATTTCGAAGAAGTTCATGAGTTTTTTGAAATTTTACCGTGCATTTTGCTAGTGAGACTTTCTTTTAAAATTTAATAAAAAATCCTGAAAATCATGTAATCGTGAGACAACGCGGCATTTCGAAGAATTTCGTGCGTTTTTTTTTTGAAATTTTACCGTACATTTTACTAGTAAAATGACTGCGAGACAACGTGGCATTTTGAAGAACTTTTTCTAAAATTTATTCTGAAAATTAAAATTGTGAGACAAAATTAAAATTGTGGCATTGTGAAGAACTTTACGAGAGTTTTCTGAAGTTTTACCATACATTTTACGAAAACTCTCATAAAGTCCTTCAAAATGCTACGTTCAGGATAAGTTTTAAAAGAAAATTCTCCCCGTGTGCTATTCACAGTTGACATAACGTCGTACGTGATTTCCATGCAGAACGATGTGAAACTCACTCTCGGCACAGGAGGACACTTATGTGTATTTAACGCTAAATACGATATTTAAAAAAATATATATAGATCTCCGTAAGAAGGCAAAGTGATTGCACAGATTTCAGTTAAAGACGAGTCTAGTCTGCGCTGTTCTTTTTTTTACACAACGATTTTACTTACGATAAGGACGGAGGAAATCGATCGAGAGCTGATTTGATCGAAGCTTTACACGACCGTATCTTGACGCCTCAATTATCTTCGAGTCTCAAATATTATTCATTAATATTATGTGCGACGGGTGTGAAACGAGTCCCAACATTCCTCGGCTTTCAAGCAATTTGCGATGGCTCGGAAGAGAAATGGGTTTGACGATGGAAATATTGATCAGTTTGGCCGGCAGAACCGCGGCACGGCCTTAAAATCGGCCTCGAAGGTAGCGAAGATGGTGCACGCGGTCGAGAGAGGCGAAGGAGCGGTAGGAAGAGTCGTGGCCCATTTCTTTTAGAAGGGAAACGATGATTACAGTTAAAGCCGTTACCTCCGTCAGTGCTCGCTCGGTTTTCTGTGTGGACGGCATTCCTGAGACCGGCGTCGGGTCACAGCTGGAGATCCTCGTGAGAAACACGCGGTGTATATCAGCCGCGGTAGCGGCTCTCCGTGTCGCCGTGTCCTCGTGCGCCACGCGTCAACCCTTTTGCGGGAGACCTCTCTTTGCCGGAGACACCGACGAGGTATTGTTAAAAGCTGGGCCTCGGAGTCCTCCTCGGGACCGGCTCGTCATCGTCGCGACGATTTAGCCGAGTGATCTTTAACGATAGCGAACGTGAGAATTGATGAATCAATTGGGGCCTGAGCAGAAAAATTGTCGTAACCGCTTGCGATTCCGTCGCGAGTCACGCGCAAGTGAATCGTCGCGGACGTAGCGTCGCATCGCGATGCAACGAAGGCGACATACGTCTACGACAATTCTTCGTGCGTTGACTCCCGCGTTGACGCCGCCTTAAGTTTTACGACGGAGTCGCAAACGGTTTTGCTTAGAGCGCCGATAGACGTGTTTGCCGACACGAGGGAGAGAAGGCAGAAGCGGCAGCCTCGATTTACCGAAGGTCATCGCACGATCGCCAATTTCGCGGCCGGTACCCTTTTCAGGAAATGTGTCATTTTATTTGTCCGTTTCACGCATGACGTGTCGCGGTCAGCTGCAGAGGAGCGCGATATAATTTCTTCTGGAGATAAACTGATAACGCTCGATAGCGGACCGATAGAGGCGAACGTTATTGTGTTGCAACGCGAGCGATTTGTCGCACCGCTCGGGAAACCCTTTCACCTTCCTACCGCACGCACGTAATACTTGAAGAGTCTCGTTCTACGACGGCGGTGCCGTTTCGAACGGCACGGCGTATCTGTTTATCTGTCGTTCGCAATCGATTCCATTAATCAACGTTGAATTCCCAGCTATACAAGCGCGATGAGAGCGATATCGAGACAGTCGGGAGATACACACGAAAAAAAAAGATGATACAAACGAACGTAAAAATTCAAAGGACGGCGCGCCACGTGCCGTCGTATCTGCGGACCAGTTATCGGAGGCTCTAGCACTCGTTACAAAGAATCAGATAAATTCAAAACTATTCGATCGGAGACGCCGCGTTAAGGCTCGCTATTATATGTTTAAACGAAAGCACGTTTATAAGTTTAAGTAGCATATATGTCCGTTTATTATCAACGTTTCTCCGAATACACGTTTACGATTTATTGTTAGACCAGTATTCATAGTCAGATCTTATATTCAAGACTGTCTCAAGATTATCTTAGATACCAGTGAAATGTTCCGTCTTTAGATAAATTCAAAACGGTCTTGAATATAAGATCCGACTATAAATGCCGGCCTTAGTATTATACAAACAAAAACATGTTTATTTAGCAGATTCGTGTATTAGAAACGTTTTCCTAAGCGAACACTTAGCCTATTAAGCTATCCAGATTCTTAGTAAATGACACTTCTCCGCCAGACTATGGCTTATTTGATATTCGTACAATTACATACGTGCTGTGTTAGCTATGTCAGTTGGCTGGGAGATTAGGGCCGGATTTTTCAACCTCTTGGTAAAATAAGTAATAGTTAAACTATGTGTCTATCTTTGCCTAATTCGAAGAAAAAACGAAGACCTATATGTATATGATTTAAGTATTAGTCAACTTACCAAGAGATTGGAACAACCGGTCCTTAATTTACTAAATTTGTAGAATAATTGTCTAAATTGCATAAGAAAGGCTTTACGATTTACGCATGACTTATGCGTGTAAAAATTACACACATAGACTTGCAATGAACGATCTTTAAATTCTGTTTATCCTTTTTTTCTTCTTTCCGTGATTGATTTGATTAGATCTTACTTTACGTACATATCTGTGAAATTTCAGCGATAAAATATATTCAAAAGTAAAACGTTTACAGGAAAACGTAAAAATATTCGGAAATACGTTTGTAATAAACGGATATGCTAAACGTGTTTTCGTTTAAACGTAAAATAGCAAGTTTTAAACGTGTAAATGTTTTTCTGAAAGCAAACATAGACGGATAAACGTTTCACATTTACTTGTGCATTCGAAAAACGGCATAAAATTAGAGCCCCAGCACGATACAATTTTAAATGCAATTTTCACGCGACTCTTTTTATCGGTGCGCTAAAGTATTCCTCGCGAAGAGAGAACAGAACTCCGGTGGAGCCGTTAAATTTTCACCGTCGAGCACATTCCTCGAGGAAAACTAGGAGATAAACGTATTTGATATTTTTACGTGAGGAATTTTTGGTGTGCGCGCAGGCGGAGCGTAGACTGGAGCAGCTGAGGAGGGCGACGGACCGCATACAAAGGGAAATCGAAGAGGTCACCGAGAGGGAGCACGAGCTGCGGAACGTGGGTAGCATTAAAACCACGTCCCACGAGACGGTGGACTTCAAGGTACAATCTTCGAAACGTATGCTCCAGATAACACGTTGCCCGTTTGCCTTTCTGCATCCGCAGATCCCACGCGTGGTCAGCGTTCCTGTTTATTCTGCAAACATACAAATATCTCCGGGTTTCACGAGTACCGGTGGGGAAAAGATGCAAATACGCTCGAGGATCGTGAAATTATTCTCAAGCGCGTTTGCGGTCCGTTTGTGTGCTCGAAACAATATTTAACGTGGCGCAATCTTACTTGCGTAGGTGCGCCGTATGCCGCAGGCCCTGGCCTCGGGCAAGCTGAAGAGAACCACGTCCACGCCGCAGATACTGGAGGCGGTCAGCCTGACGCCGCTGTCGTCGGACTTGACGCCAAAGATGACGAACGGCGTGATATCCACGCGCACTACGCCGACACCGCTGCGCTTCACGACCACGCCTAGCCAGAAGGGGCTGATGCACAGGTTCCTGGCTACGCGGGGCAAGCTCTACAGGAACAAGCCGCCGAGCAACGGCAGCCTGAACCCTCCTGTAACGCCCACCATCACGCTCAATCCTTTGAGTATCAAGGCCTTTAACAGAACGTTGGAGATACCATTGGAGCCGGACGACGAGCCAAAGAAGCCGTTAACGCGGAAGGGATACATTCCTGTCGAGCAGAAGATTCAAAAGGAGCTGCACGACATGAAGGAACGGGAGAACGAATTGAGGTGCTGGCACTTTTACATTCAGAGAATTCGGCGCGACCGTGTGCGGTCAGCGAACTGTTTTCAAAATGATAAATTAAAGAGGAGGCTTAAAACAGCTGATCTGAGAGTAGCTTTTCAATTTTTTTTTAATTAGTTCTTGAAAAGTCGCAGGAAAATCGATAATACTTGAACATATCGTGTATTCCCAACCCTTCGACATTAATCGCCAACATAAGTTTATATAATGTTTATTAATTTAGACAGTTTGTTTAACATCGGCTTGCAATGAAGAAAGCATTAAAAAGATGTCAAGGCAAATTGCCGCACGTTGTTACAAAAATTTTAAGGGGGGTCTTTTAGCTCGATTATTTGTAGACTCAAACTGACTCGTGCAAATCTCGTTTATCCTCTAGGTTGATGAGATCGCACATGCTGGCAAAGTCTCAGCCGAATCTACTTGATATAGGAAATGACAATGATTCCGATATTTACGACGGCTCCGGTTCTCTCAGAAGCGGCACTTCCACCAACACTTTGAACGAGGATGAAATTGAGAAAGAACATAAGGGAAAGCATAAGGTCGCCAACATTTTCATACGATTATACTCTCAATATGATTAAAATTAATTACCAATGTTACCGATTACAACCAATCGATGAAACGAACGCGCCAATTATATGAAGAGAATGCTTTGGAACGCGGTCGTCGACAATTTCGTGAAAGATCTCTTTTTTTTCTATTTGCAGCCTAATCCACGACGTCGTAACACGCTCATCGCGCAATGGGAAAGTTTGATCGCCGCCAAGAGAGAATCTATCGAGAATAACAACGAGAAGGACAGCTACTTTTGAAAGTTCTACAGCATCACGTAGCTGTTTGCAACACCATCTTTAATCTTTACGCTATCGTTATTCCGCTCTATCTAAATGATCGATCGCAAACCAGTAATACTTATTAATATTACAGCGAACAACCGTTTGTATTGTGACAAGAGCTCCGTCTTTTTTTAAGCGTATCTTAAACGGATATTTTTGTTTTTTTTATCTTGTTTTATATAGTTTATTTACGAATGAACGATTTTCTTTTTTGTGTTTGAATATTTATGCGCTCTCCAGCGTTAATTAGAATACATCAGCGTCGCGGCTGCGCGTGTTTGCAGTATTAAGTTGCTGGCTTAAATATTATTAAAGGGCTTGTGAGATTGAAGGATTTTTTTAAAAAGAAAGTAGGGCATACTTTTGTCTTCGATTTGTTATCGGTGGATCAGACAACACAAATATGTAAAATATTCATACTCGCAAGCGACTGAAGAAGCTTTCGTACGTTTAATGTAACATTGCGGGTATAGTGCTTATTGTAACGATCGTTAACTCGCTTTATCAGCGCATGTATAGTATTATATATATATATATATATACAGGGTGAGTTATAACATTTGTCCACGAGCTCGTGAGAAGGTAGAACGGATCGAGATGAACAGAAAAGTCCTGAAACATTTTGCAATTTTCGCAATAGTTAACGAGAAAAAAATTATCGAAAATCGTCGT